GGGTCAAAACAAACAACCACCAGTTACATTAAGGTTCAAAAAACTTTTTCCGGACAAAAACTTTTCCGGACAACCACCGGTTAAATTAAGGTTCAAAAAAATTTTTCCGGACAAATTCCTGTTAAAACATGGGCAAAACCCGTTTTTTTATTAACCAAAATCTATAAAATTTAGGTCTGGAAAGTTTAGGTCTGGAAAAAGTACCAAAAGTAGCTGACTTAATTGACTTTTTTTAGCAATTTTCAGATTAATATAACCACAATTCCAAAAATTACCGCAGTAATTACCACAAATTTCAAATTACCACAATCGTCCAAAAATTACGAAAAATTACCACGGTAGTAATGAAAATTACCGTAGTAATTACAACAAATTTGAAATTACCACAATCGTCCAAAAATGACGAAAAATTTCCACGGAACTAATGAAATTACCACCGCATCTGGTCACACTGGCAGGGCACTCGGAGAATGGAGACTGCCGATATGTCCGCCAGTGAATTAAGTTATGTACTATGCATAAATTATACGATGGATGCATAAATTATATGTTGGATGCATACATTATATGTTGGATGAATAAATTATGAATTATACGATGGATGCATAAATTATACGCTAATAGCAAATAGTACTCTGTCCAGCACAGCAAGAACAAACTTTTGCTAATTTCCCATTCAATTGTCACCCAAATGTAAATTAATTTGTCCACGGTTAATAGAATTAACCGTGATTTGTCCTTGGACAATGTCTATTAGTCCCACAAATGTTCATATTAGTATGTTTGATATTAGTATGTTTGATATTAGTATGTTTGATGTCGTGCTGACAGGCAAACACACACAAACGTGGTCGAAAACCCCCTAGCTAGCGGAGGTAATAAATTTGTAGTCATAATGCTATGTTCATGCACTGATTAGACATAGCTCAATAATGGTAAATTGTGCGCACATTTCTTCAAATGTTTGCTAAGGGACTGGTCATAAAGTACGTATAGAAGGAGGTGGGCTGGGGAAAATATGGGGGTGGGCCACCATTTTCATGCTTGCAAAAAGGGTGTTATATATATATATATATAATATATATATATATATATATATATATATATATATATATATATATATATATATATATATATATATATATATATATATATATATATATATATATATATATATATAACATATAGGGCCAAAGGCCGAGGGACGTTTTTGAGACCGAGACAAAATATTTTTCTATCCGGACCGACCTAAACGGTAAATAACGTATTTATTTTTTTGTCGAAGACTCAGAGGCAAATCGCAACGGTTTTATTAGATTGCGCATATAGAAAACAAAACAATAAAAAAATAGTTTGATATTTAATTATATATTTTACTTTAGAAAACAAACAATTCAATTAAAATACAGTACAATTATTTTATCCATCATTAAAATTGTTTCGAAATTACATATTCATATTTTTCAGTTTTAAAACAAACATACAAAACATTTTTGCTTTGCTTCGGCCATTACGTATAGGACTCCGGACCGTGGTCAAATATCGTAAAATTCCGCCCGCTGCTGCAGCCAATCAGATTGCAGAAAACGCTAGGATTCCGCCCGCTGCTGATTTACAAAAAAATAAAAATAGTTATTTATATCTTTCTTCAATCTGTACCATTTGTAGTCAGATGGTGACAGTTCGTAAATACGAATGATTAGCTTGAATTGTCGACTGGTGTAGTTTTGCAATGGACAGTTGAAGTGAGTAGAGTAGTAGAGTTGCCTTTCAGACAACCAAACTGCTGTACTGATCACAAAATTGATCATTTTTGATCAGTGGCGTAGCCAGCCCGACAATTTAAGTCCCGCTATGCAAATTCAAGATTATTATCATAACTAATTTTTTTAGGAATTGATTGTTTTCAATGAATACGAAAATATTTGCATAGCGGGATTAAGTCGGCGGGCTGGCTACGCTAGTAATTTTGATCAATTTTGTGACTGAGATCAGGAATAATCCAGTCGACCACACAGTCGTCAAGAATGTCGGAGAGATTGGCGGTCAGCGATATGGGACAGAGGTTGCTCTCCTCCGACACTGGTTAAGCTTTCGTTATAGTAGTTACCTAGCTGGCTTCGTTACAGGACTATGCTGGCCTGCTTTATCCTTTACCAAAGGAATGGGTCATTAATTTATGTGTAAAACCTCAAGGGTGGGGCATTGGCAATTTAGCGTTATACAAAGTGTGGGTCTTTGACATACGTGTCTCTCAAAAACTGTTTTTCTCAGCCCACCCCCTCTTGTACTTCATGACCCACAACTTTCGGCAGAGCATTGACTTTTACTCTTTTCACACGAAGACTGGGTTCAAGTCGCATTGAGAAAGTTCTCACTGAGGCTTGAACCTGCGGCTTTAAAGGTGAAAGGCAAGTGTGTTAACCACTTCGCCACCGAAAGCTCCAAGCACCAAATCATTTGTTAGTGACCGCATGTTGGTGATCGAACAAGGCATAATAAAGCAGTGGGCAAGCCAAAACTTATAATGACTAGCATTCTCATTTCACCAAGTTACCCCTTTTTGTGGTTAGATGGTAGCAAATGCTAAACTTTGAAAACAGTGGCACTGCCACTGGGAGAGGGGAAAAGGGGTGATGACATACGCTAGGGGTATGTTAGGCATATGTTGTATATGTTTCAAGCATGGTAAAAGGCCTGTTGTAAACGCTAGCATAGGCTGTGCAAACTCCAGTTTTTTCAGCTCCGGAAAAAAAGTCCGGCTCCAGCAGCAAATTTCCAGCTCCGGCAATTTGTGAAAATTCAAAATTTAATAAAAATTTTATATTTCAAAGTGGAAGCGCTTCATACTATGTCTGTAGCAAGCCTACGCATACGCTACGTATCAATACAAGTATTTACTTTTTCGTCGATTGATTCAGGTTTTTCCCACGATATCCGACATTAGTTTGAAGCACAAATAAGTGCTGCCAGAGTTTTGCTGGAGTCAAACAAACTCTGGCTCCTGCTCCGGCAAAATAGGCCAAAACTCCGACTCCTGCATACAGCACTATGGCATACACTGGCATACGGCGAAGCAGCATGTTTAAAATTTCTTATTGGATTCGGACGTATGGTTTATATGATAAGCATATAGGCACACACTGAATATGCTAGAGGTACGCCAGATGTACAGTACTATTAAAGGTTGTTCCAGCAAGTCTGATACAGTCATGACATATGACAATATTGTTACAACCTTGTGTCGTCAACCTTGTAACATTCTTGTTATATGACTATCATGACTGCATCTGACTTGTTAGAACAACCTTGTAACAAGCCTGATAATGCCATCAAGCTTGTTGCAACTTGTTAAAAGCTTGTTCCAAACTTGTTATAAAATGATAAAATAACTGCATTAATTGTTACAACTTGTTGGCAAGCTTGCAGTTGCTACCAGCCTGTTGTGAGATTTTTACGTGTGTTAGAGATTGCCTTCAGAATCGACTTTCGTTGTTTCCAGAATCCTGGCAAATCAAAATTGTATTTCAGATAAAAAAATATCCCACTGACTTCACTGATGTAACACTGAGCAACAGATTGAAATACCGAAATAAAAGATGAAAACCTGAAGCTACAGGCTTGAAAATAACACTCTGAATATATAGTGTTTTAGATTGTGATTCCAACAAGACTACAACGGAAAAGATATGTTCGAAGGGGCCGAAGTTACGTTCGGCGAAAGGTACGACAATATACTGTACATTGTTTACATTCTTCGAACAGTTATGTAATTTATTAAAATATGATATCGCTTCACAACTCAAAGCTCATAAATCGCAATAATGTTTGTCTTTGACTAAAACTGCCGTTAGGAATTAGGAGATATTGTTTCACTGAATCGATCGGTGGTATTTTCATCTAAACAGCATTCACTGAACTGAACATATGACAGCTTCAAAATACTATTCCACTATGGGCATAAAGAACTTAGAAGCTTTTACCTTTCATTTCCTACAAATAAGCTAGTGGACGCGTCAAAATTGACTGAATCTACAAGTACGCGTAAATCTGCGTTAATATTGACAAATTGCGCAAAAATTATTTAAGAGATGTTCCAGATATTCCAGAATGTTTCATTCCATGTTTTAAGGCTAGTTTCCACACTCAGGAAAATTATCCGTGCATTGGAACGGACAAGAAAATTTTTCTTTGTCTTGTGAGCTCTGGGTTGGAACTAATGACTTTAACACAAAGAAAAATTTTCTTGTCCGTTCCAATCCACAAATAATTTTCCTGAGCGGAAACTAGCCTTTAGACGTTGCCGACAAAAATCTATAAAAACATGAGCCTTGGCCAGTACGTCTAGTACCAACCGCGCATGATATAATAAACGCCTGCGACATTAAAGTTTTGCATTTTAAGGTCTATCTGACTCTGAGAGGGGCGAATTTACACGGCAAATTTACACTTCTTTCCAAATATAAATAATAACGGCAAATTTATACTACATAATTTAGAACGCTTTCAGGCAGTTTGCCAACGTAGATCAGTAAACACGAAGCTCTAGGAAGATGTTCTGTGACTGGTTGATTATGACAATGACAAAAGACGTAATTGGCTTACATAAACAAAACGAATATTGTTCTTGCTTTGTTCTCAAGAAAATCCATTCTATACTTATAGCTTATTCTTTTGTCATTGTCATAATCAACCAGTCACAAAACATCTTCCTAGAGCTTCGTGCCGACCCACGTAGATAGACAAATAGACATCTTTATTTATTCAGAGTAACCTTAAGACCAGCCATACCTTTAAAGCTTCTTGTTTGGAGATCTTATTTCGAAAGTACTTTAATAGTTTATCAGCAGAGCCGCCAGAGGAGGAAATTCGAGGAACGAGGGTCTTCCCGAAATGCAACGCGCGCCTCAATCATTATTCAAAATATTTTTGGACCTTTTTGTCAAGGCCGAAATTGTTCCTACCATGCATAATCAATACAGTACAACTACAGGATTTTTTTCCTGGCTTGCGAGGTTGCGTGTTCTTTTCTTACCTGAATAACTTGAGGCATGCACACACCATATATGGCCATAGCAGATAGCACATTTTGTAGACATGTTGTAAAATATGGACTGGCCCTTAAACTGGACTGGACTTGTAAACTATGGACTGGACTTGTAAAACATGGACTGGACTTGTAAAACATGGACTGGACTTGTAAAACATGGACTGGACTTGTAAAACATGGACTGGACTTTTAAAACATAAACTGGACTTGTAAAACATGGACTTGTAAAACATGGACTTGTAAAACATGGACTTGTAAAACATGGACTTGTAAAACATGGACTTGTAAAACATGGACTTGTAAAACATGGACTTGATCTTCGAGCGAATTTATTATCGATATGTTTCTCTATATGTACACCTATATAGAGAAACAGGTAAAAATACACGAATTATTCTGCTGTGCTCGCTTGCCCCTCCCCACACCGGCCCACCTTATTTTGCCCCCGGAATTGGACAAACAATAACGAAATAGGTTGGACCGAGTCAACATAATTTAACTTCGAAAATATTTAATCCTTTTTTGCATATCTATGTTAAATAGTTTTTTAACTAACATTTTGACAAAAAAAACTTCCACTATTTGCATGGCATGCATTTTCTATCATAGCTAGAATGTTGTAATTAAGCTAAATTCAGTTGCAAAACATGAATTTCGATAGACATAGTTCGCTAACTAAACAAAACAAAACTCATAACGAAACATTTCATTGTCCTTAGTGCCTAACAAATATTACTGGTATCCATTATTAAATATTCAATCGTATCCGTGTGAAAGGAAAGCTTGGCTGTAGTAATGTCCGCAAACGGAAATTGCCAACACATGCAGTCAATCAAGATACATGTTATGATCTGGGAACTCGATGATGAATTTCAGTCAATGATTCTCAAGGCCAAGAGATCGAATTTTTGCGATTGAACTATTATTGGAACTATTCAAAATTTGATCATTACGTTGGTAGAATTGCAGTTTGGAGTTGGTAGAATTGCAGTCCTTTCAGTTTAACGGCTTACGATAAACATCCATCCGTGCATGTACATTATATAGTATGGTACAGTTAATAATGCTTATCACTAAGACAATTACAATAGTTACTCATTTCCCAAAAATGTATCCATGGTACCGGGTGTCCCCCCCAAATTTATCTGTTTGATTTCATATAACGTAAAAACTATAAGAGTTGTCGAACTAAAATAAACTCCATTGCATGTAGAAAGGGCCAACTTAGACTTTGATATATAACATTTAATTATCCGTGCGATATTGTCGGATCAATTGAAATTCAAAGACAAAGTTGAACTACCATTTTTCAAAATGTTAAAAACTAGCATAAAACCAAAATTTAACCGCCAATGTTTCTTTCCTTGCGAGTTCGAATCCCAAGGGACATCACATGGAACATTCTTTCCATTGAATGAATGGAACTTGAATTATTACCTCATTTTATTCCTAAGAATAATTCTTTAGTGTAATTTTTATTTTTAAAAGTAAGTTTGCAATGGAAAAGCCTATACAAATATATACTATATTGGTTTTCATGGATTTTAATTGAATTTGGGTAATGTCGAGTGCCGAGGGTCATAAAGGTCGAGACTCAAAACTCGAGGTCGGAAGTCGATGGTCGAAAGTCAAAAATAGTAAATTATTAATACACTTCTAGAATTATACTATATTTTTTGCATTTGTTGTCAAAATTTTGAACATTTTCCTGATAATACCTTTTTGATAGAAGATATAGAAATTTCAAACGCCCCCAACCTGATGAAGAATTGCATGGTTAGACTAAAAATATTGGAGAAAGAAGGCTGTGACTAAAAGGGGAGGGGGGCTAAAAGTTACTATCGCAAGGAAAGTGCTGCCGAGCCTGACTCTTCCATAGTCCATCAACGTAACTAATTATCGCGCTCCACATTCGCCCGTGTGCAGGCTATTCTCCACACGCCTGCAATCAACTCATCGATGCTCCTCCCCCCTGAATTCGCACGAAGCGACTAGAGACAAGTGGAGATGAGGCAGTCTCTAAACATGTTACAGAATATAAGGAATAATCATCAAGCTTCCAAAGTATGTTACTTTTCAGAATTGTGCATGTAGCATGATAACAGTCCACAGTTCTGATACATTCAGGGGCGGCGCTGGTGGAGGAGAGAGGATTAAGGAATTAAGGACAAACTAAACGAGTAAAGGTACATCAACACAAAAGATAATGAAAAATATGTCAGGAAATTTTTTAATGTTCAGGTGCAAACAGACCCTCTTGCCAATACATTTGGAAATACAAATATTAATTACGAAAACATTTTTAAAATGCAGTGATGAAAATGACGCACTCATTAGTCTCTTTGCGACAGCCCGATGTGGTAGAAAGAGCGCCATACTTGACAAACATGAAAGTTTCACGTGAGCATAGACAACGTGCTCACCCCTACAAAAGGCGATACAAAAGGCGATAAAGACTATACCAAAAAGTGGTAATATCCTCATCTATATTATCTCTCTGCATGACTTTGACCTTGGCCCGAATGACACCCTGCGACAAAAAAACGCTTCACACAATTAATAGCCGCAAACATTCTGACGCTGGAATTAATTTACGAAGATTATATATTTTATTTAATACACATTGCTTCTACAAGTATCTTCCTATTTACCCCACATATACCTGCAAACCTTTGATAACATTCCCTAAAAACCTGTGAACGGTAGCTGCGCACCGTCTTTCCTCTATTTAGCCTCTAGGGGCTTATTATCCAGTGGTTCTGGACTGGGAGTTTATTACAGGAAGGGGTGGGGGGGGGGGAGATAAAGGCTGGGGGCTAAATTAATTCTCACGTTCTTTTAAAAAATATTAATTGAGCTCAGACAGAATGATCATTAGAGTTTTCTAAAAAAGAAATTTTCATACAATTCACCATACACTACATCCTTCCGGAAAGTATTTCATCTTGGCTATAGAGCCTCGTTTTCGTGTGTATGATATTAGCGAGTTTAAGCTTCGCGTGTCAGGGAACGGCAAACGGCAGGTTCGAACTTTCTTGGCAAAATTTTCGTTGAACGTTTTCGTTTCATATTTTCTTTCTTGCGTCGAAAGTATAATTATGAATTTCAGTTTTAAAACAGCAAGTTCATTTACTCTTTATTGCCTGATACCGTAAAATTTTTCTTTACCTGGCGTTTGCCGTTTGACGTATAACTCCGCGAAGCTTAAAGTGCTTATGAAACGAAATTTTCACCTCATTTTTTATTGTTTTGCTAAAAAGTACTGCTAGAGCGATGAGGAATGACGTTTCCAGTTTCTTCATATCTCATCTCATTCTCAAGTTATCGCACTTTCTAAATTTTGAGTTGTGACGTCACTAGTTTGACTTGAGATAATGGCAATAACAAGAAAGTCTGATATCTTAGTGAGTATTTAATAAAATTCAATGAAACTCGTTACAGTTAGTGGGTGCGCCAATATGAATATTTTTGGTAGGTCACATAGCTGTCATGGCAACACACTAGTCCCCAGTCTCTTCTCTTCCTTTTCACAAATTTCCTCCTGTAGACCTCTTGCAGAGGATGTTTGCGTGTTATAACAGTTTAAACTGATCACAATGCCTACACGTATTATAGTAATAAGCGACAATTACAGAAATTACTATTTATTTCGTTGGAAATTGATCATACAGAAATTGGAAGAGAAGGGACTGGGGACGAGTGTGTTGCCATAACAACCATATAAACAAGCCAAATTGTTCACTTCGTTGCACCCACTAAGTGTGCCGAGTTTCATTGAATTTTATTAAATGATCGTCAAGATATCAGATTTTCTTGTTATTGCCACTATTTTGAGTCAAACTAGTGACGTCACAACTCAAAATATAGAAAGTGCGATAACTTGGGAATGAGATGAGATACGAACAAACTGTAAACGTCATTCTTCATCATTTAAGCAGTACCTTTTAATAAGACAATAAAAAATGAGGTAAAAATTTCGTTTCATAAGCACTTTAAACTCTCTAATAGTCAAAGCCCAACGTCTCAATCATTAAAACGAGGCTCTACAGCCAAGATGGCGTACTTTCTGGAAGGATCATTGAACTGAATATAACTGGAACGCTACCTCCAACTCGAAATTTGAAGCCAGTCCCAGTCTTTTCACGAAGACTTGAAGGCCAGTCCCTGTCTTTTCATGCATGCGAAGAGCGCTCAATTAGTCAATCATGATATAAATTAACACGCGGGTCTTAATCCCCAGACACGCGTATCTGGGGTCAAGATTTGGCTTCAAAAAAACTTAGATTGGCAGTTTATCTGAAGGTAGCGTTCCAGTTCAATGGGAAGGTGTGCTTGCCGTATCAGTGAACGATATTACAGGGTGTCCAAAAAAAAAAGCCCAAACTATTGAAATAACGTATTGTTAAAATTTGAATGCCCTAGCACTAAGCTGAACGTAAAGATGCGTAAAATATTGACAGGGTGCATACATCAAATATTCACTTCAGATTAAGAAATTCAAATATCTTTGTAAAGAGCAAGATTTTCTGCTCTTGGGGATTTGAAGTGGGACGTGCCAATTAAGATCACTCTGTCTTGGGTACCCTATAGAAGATAGTCACGTGACGAAGCAGCATGCTTGAAGTTTGTACTTTTTACTAGCTTTATTAAAACGATACTTAAACCAACAAAATGTAGTATTTCGCGCGATAGTTGAACGGGTAACAAAAACAGCTTCTTAAACAGTTTCTTTATGCATAAAATTTACTTCTGTCAAGCTTTATGCACTTGCGGGTTACTAACAATTCTAACAATACGTTATTTCAATATTTTGGGACACCCTGTATACGCAGTATTATCAGTGAATGTTATATTGAACAATTGTAAAAAGGGTGCGGACTTATTTTTTTAGCACTTTTGGACTGGGGATTAATTGGAGGGGAGGGGGGCTAAATGGAGGGATAAAAAGGCTGGGGGCTAAATCACAGAATAGATACTAGACCAGAAGTGTCACTCCTATGTGTTTTGGCTTGAAAAAAACGTCCGAAACTTTTTACAATCTATGGCGCCATCCTGGAGTGCACACGACACTTTGTATACCTATATGTTTGTGCCATAAAAAACTTGCGTATGCACTCCAGGATGGCGTCATATGATGGCGTATTTTCACGTCAGCCCAATTTTGGACGAAATATCGTCTGAGTGACACTTCTGGTCCAGTATCTATTCTGTGGCTAAGTAGAGGAAATACGGTACCTCATGCCCAGGGCTTCTGCACGAAAACCTGTGAACGGTAGCTGCGCACCGTCTTTCCTCTATTTAGCCTCTAGGGGCTTATTATCCAGTGGTTCTGGACTGGGAGTTTATTACAGGAAGGGGTGGGGGGGGGGGAGATAAAGGCTGGGGGCTAAATTAATTCTCACGTTCTTTTAAAAAATATTAATTGAGCTCAGACAGAATGATCATTAGAGTTTTCTAAAAAAGAAATTTTCATACAATTCACCATACACTACATCCTTCCGGAAAGTATTTCATCTTGGCTATAGAGCCTCGTTTTCGTGTGTATGATATTAGCGAGTTTAAGCTTCGCGTGTCAGGGAACGGCAAACGGCAGGTTCGAACTTTCTTGGCAAAATTTTCGTTGAACGTTTTCGTTTCATATTTTCTTTCTTGCGTCGAAAGTATAATTATGAATTTCAGTTTTAAAACAGCAAGTTCATTTACTCTTTATTGGCCTGATACCGTAAAATTTTTCTTTACCTGGCGTTTGCCGTTTGACGTATAACTCCGCGAAGCTTAAACTCTCTAATAGTCAAAGCCCAACGTCTCAATCATTAAAACGAGGCTCTACAGCCAAGATGGCGTACTTTCTGGAAGGGTCATTGAACTGAATATAACTGGAACGCTACCTCCAACTCGAAATTTGAAGCCAGTCCCAGTCTTTTCACGAAGACTTGAAGGCCAGTCCCTGTCTTTTCATGCATGCGAAGAGCGCTCAATTAGTCAATCATGATATAAATTAACACGCGGGTCTTAATCCCCAGACACGCGTATCTGGGGTCAAGATTTGGCTTCAAAAAAACTTAGATTGGCAGTTTATCTGAAGGTAGCGTTCCAGTTCAATGGGAAGGGTGTGCTTGCCGTATCAGTGAACGATATTACAGGGTGTCCAAAAAAAAAAGCCCAAACTATTGAAATAACGTATTGTTAAAATTTGAATGCCCTAGCACTAAGCTGAACGTAAAGATGCGTAAAATATTGACAGGGTGCATACATCAAATATTCACTTCAGATTAAGAAATTCAAATATCTTTGTAAAGAGCAAGATTTTCTGCTCTTGGGGATTTGAAGTGGGACGTGCCAATTAAGATCACTCTGTCTTGGGTACCCTATAGAAGATAGTCACGTGACGAAGCAGCATGCTTGAAGTTTGTACTTTTTACTAGCTTTATTAAAACGATACTTAAACCAACAAAATGTAGTATTTCGCGCGATAGTTGAACGGGTAACAAAAACAGCTTCTTAAACAGTTTCTTTATGCATAAAATTTACTTCTGTCAAGCTTTATGCACTTGCGGGTTAACTAACAATTCTAACAATACGTTATTTCAATATTTTGGGACACCCTGTATACGCAGTATTATCAGTGAATGTTATATTGAACAATTGTAAAAAGGGTGCGGACTTATTTTTTTAGCACTTTTGGACTGGGGATTAATTGGAGGGGAGGGGGGCTAAATGGAGGGATAAAAAGGCTGGGGGCTAAATCACAGAATAGATACTAGACCAGAAGTGTCACTCCTATGTGTTTTGGCTTGAAAAAAACGTCCGAAACTTTTTACAATCTATGGCGCCATCCTGGAGTGCACACGACACTTTGTATACCTATATGTTTGTGCCATAAAAAACTTCCGTATGCACTCCAGGATGGCGTCATATGATGGCGTATTTTCACGTCAGCCCAATTTTGGACGAAATATCGTCTGAGTGACACTTCTGGTCCAGTATCTATTCTGTGGCTAAGTAGAGGAAATACGGTACCTCATGCCCAGGGCTTCTGCACGAAAATTTAGGACAAAAAGTTCAACGAACTGATTATCGAAAATACGAGACCTTTTTAAGCTGACCGCAAATAAGATTTATTTGAGAGTGGGCGCCAGCTAAAAACTATCCTTCAGCAGGTCATTAGTAACCAGTCCTAATTTTTTTACATCCGGTGCCCCAGAAAGGTTTAATCCAGCGCTAGTAAAATGCGGGAGAAATAAGGTATTTGTTATTTATGTTCATCATTTACTATATATATTTTACATGATTATATCACAATATTAAAAAATTCTAAGCTCTATGATGTACCTCAAATTAAAACGACAACGTTTCCCATATTAAATTGCGTTTGATTGGTCTATTGGGAAACTGCAGAAGTCATCGAATACATGTAACTATTAAAATTATAGAATTACTTGCTAAGTTTTGTCTAACATGCAATTTTTCAAAAATTAATTCATTATTTAATTTATCAATTAATTCATTATTTATAATTTACATGTATTTACCGAGACCGAGGGAAATAGCGTGGTTTTGAGACCTAAAAACTGACGAGCGGTCAAAGGGGTCACAAAAAGCTATTTTACCGAGGTTTCAGTAAATATAGATATTTGTTTTATTTCAAGTTGTCAAATGACAACAAGGAATATAGTCGAAGCTATGCGCGCATAATGCTACGCGCTCCAATATACTTCCGCAAATGGTGTATATATACAAAAAATACACATCTCTCTTACTAGTCTCTTCACAGACTGTACCTCAATTCGTCAGTTCCAATCAATTTTATGTGACACATCTATAAAAATTCTTTTTCTAAACTGTCGCTGTTAAAAAATCAACAGATAATCAGAAATTAGATGCATGCACTGGTCAAGAGAAAAAGACAGAATGTTATTTTGATAACATTAATTTATTTTAGCAGACACTTGTAAAACAACAGCAATAGAAGGTTTTTCAACAGTGATCCTTACACGAGAATTTAGAACAAAGAAATTTAGAACCTTGCTAACCGTGTATGTATATTACTTACGGGCTTGACCAACACATCTCATAATCATTAATAATCCACAAAATAAATTAGCGATCTATATATTACTTTATTTTGGTCAAATGATGATAGCGGATGCCGGGTGAAGTGTTTTTGATCCAATCCTATATAGGACTAAATTAATTCAGCGTCGGAAAATGATCAAAATTCATTCAGCCTTACGGCGTTAGGGACAATGATACAGTCGAGCCCCTATAAATGGACCTCAATGCTGATAAAACACTATGAAACAGACACCTCCTTTATAAGCGAACACACTTGTGAACTCACAAAGGTGTGCGTTTACGTAAGGGCTCAACTGTATATTTCAAATTTGGCGGACTGGATCAGATTTCAAGTCTTCGCAGTGTGTCCTCATTTCAGGAATTAAAAATTAAAATATAAATTATGGCAATGTTTAAAAACCTCCTTTTATTTATACTTACTGTAGTTCAATTTCCCCATATTTCCAGGGATGGCGTTGGAAATTTTGATCTCATTGGAAAAATTCCCACTTGTGCTGGGTTCTGCAGAGTCCAGGCATTGGACATCCGATATATTCGAGTGAAGGAGAGACGTCTTTGTCCCCTCACAGTGATCAGCTTTCACTTCCACCGAGTTATTGTCTCTGACCGATGTGTCACAACAAAATTGAGAAGCAGATATCTTGGCCTGGGCTAGCTCTGCAAACAACATGGCACACTTGGTGAAATAACATTCTTCGAGACATGAATTTGTGTAATCGGAATGGCTGAAATCTTATCTAGTGAGGTCTGACTTTTGGAGATCAGGAACTTTCCCGGAATGTTGTCGATAGACGAGGTGTACAAGATGATGCTCAGAAAGGGCCACACCTTTTTTTCCAAAATATTGGCTAGTGAAAGCTTTTTTCGGTGCTTTTGCGATTACGAATGAAAGCATTCAAAACCTTTCGACAATGTATGTACTAATATGTTATCGGATGGTAACTAGAAATCGATTTCGAGACTCGGTGTATTGAGAATCAATATCAGATTCACTTAATTCACAAAACGTTTAGTAATGATAAAGGAGAATGGGATTTCACTATGAAACCTCAAATTCGGATCTGACCTGATTTCAAGTCTTCGGAATTTGAATAAATGATTTAAAGTATTCGGACTAGAAATCTGGTGCTCATTCTGGCTTGGTTTCAAAATATTATGTCAATTTTAAAATCTCATTTATTTATACTTACCTTCGTTGCAGTTCAATTCCCTGTTGTTTCCAGTGATGGCTTCGCAAATATTGGTTCCATCCAAACAATTCCCACCTATACTGGATTCTACAGAGTTTAGGTGTGCGCCTTTAACATTGGAGAAAAGGAGCGACGTCTTCGTCCACTCGCAGTGATCAGCCTCCAGTTTTTCCAAGTTACTGTGACTGATTAATGTGTCACAAAATTTTGAACCAGACATCTTCGCCCCTCCTAGCTTTATAAACAGCATGACACACTTGATGAAATGGGATTCCTTGAGAGATGAATTTGTGAAATCGCAATGGCTAAAATCTGATCCAGTAAGGTCTGACTTTTGAAGATCGGCAACTTTCCTTAGTGAATGTGGTCGATATACGGGGAGTACAAGATGATCCTCAGGAAGACGCAACTTACTCTTCAAAAAATTGGCTAATGAGGGCTTTTCCTTTTGAAGCTGATTGAAAGATTCCAAAACCTTTGGACACTGAATTAAAATGTGTAGTGGATTGTAACTGTATAGTTTATTTTGAGGTTTATTGTAATGAGAGTCAATTTCAGATTCATCAAAGTATTGGCCACTGGTGCAATTTTCATAATTAGAACAACAGTCTTTGCACAATTTTTCGCTAGTATCTTCATTGGTTGGGGTTTCATCCGCGGCAGCTGTTTCACCTTCACCGTTTTGACTAACACATTTCTTTACTTCAAGAAACTGCCCGCGATAACCATACTTGCATTTTTTACCATCTTCGTTTGGTTTAATAAAATGCTTAAATTCCGCGCCATCCTTTCCGAAAATCATTCGTCGCAAGCCAGGTTTTCGAAACACATTTGGAGCAGACCACTCAATATCCTTTGTTCTTGTAAGTATTTTCTTCTTTTTTATTTTGCCATCTTGTAGTACTTTCTTAAGTAAAGTGTTTCTGTCGAATGTATCGTCTGTTTCTAGATTAAACATCAAATCGACCGCACACTCTGCTAAAATTTCAACTTGCTTATCACTTTGCAGTTCAAATAACTGGGACTCGAAAATACGAGATAATTCTTTGGCAACGTCCTTGACGACACAATTTAAATAAGACGAAATTTGTGCTTTTTCTGTTGCTGTCTGAAGCACTTCCTCGACTACTTTAGCGTTAGCTTGTTGATAGCGTTTATCGACAATTTTAACAAGTAGAGTACCACCAGCTACAAACGCTGCGGCGAACGATGCTGCCCCACCAGTTGGAATACTCATTGCAGCTGTTATGCCACAAGCAAGGCTAGCAATAACAGTAGTCGTTGGTGCAGCAACCTCCACGATCTTTGTGGCTTTGCCTCCCTTAGGATCCTCTGCCAATTCTTTAATAATCTCCATTTTCTTCTGGGCTGCGGTTTCAACTGTCGTTTCGAATAATGCACAACGGCGCATCATGATCTACATGTAAAATACACTTTCTGTGAACTGGGGAAATATCACACCTCATAATATTCTTTTAATGAAAAAATCCCAAACATTTAATTACCTGGCTTATGTGATTGTTATTCATTTGAGCGTCTTCTGTACCAGATGAAACATCGCGTTCTGTATCAACAGAAGAACAGTATAGATATGATAAGCAATTGGTTAGACAATTAAGGTGCATGACACGGGACCATAGTGCATTCACCAATAACACGCATGCCTCATATTTTTCGGAGTGTGTACAGTATATATAGGCCGCATGTTAAACCTAATATGCGGAGGAGGAAGTATAAAAGTAATGTACAAAGTATAATAGGCGAATTCATTCGCGCAAAGAGAATCGAAAGACAAATTTCGGCAATGCGAATGGTTGGCAATAACATTCTCCACAAAGCGTAGGAACTAATTCGCCTAGTGGAAACCGACATAACCTACCTTGCGGTGAGTCAACATCAACGACGGGTTCACGAATTTCTGCGCTTGGCTGTGGAACAAATACAAAAATCAAACATTGAAACGCAAAAGAAAAGAGCAATGTTACTTAGGACCCAATTCAGTTGAAATGTAAACAGACTTTAATAATCTGGCTCCTTTAACAATTACGTCAACTAGGCCCTCCCTGCTATTGTAAATCCTGAAAAGTCCTGGTCAACCACAATGCAATGCGTGCCTTTGTTTACATTTCTGTTACGTTGTGGACCGGAGGCAGCTATTTTGTGTGGCCTCGAGAATGGCGGCAACAATTGATAAAAGTAACGGAAAAACGTAAACAAAAGCGCATTGCATTGTGGTTGACCAGGACTCCTTAATAATATTGACATCAGACTTAAGCTTGCTGTTTGTCACACCGTAACTCCTCCCCCCCCCGCCTTCGGGGGAGGTTATGTTCTAGGGAAAGCGCGTATTGAGAAAAGAGATCCACAAACACAGGGAAGAGCTGATTCATTTTGCCAAAATGCAGAAAGTGACAAGCTTGAACTACTAGTTAGATTGATACATGTGCGTATTGCTTAAGTTGATCAAGCTGCTCCCGTTGGTACGAAGGGAGGCTTGATACATTTATTTCCTCCAAAAGGGAACTTTTAGAGAGGGGCATATTTGACAGAGCGACTTACAGTATTTGCGGTAGGCAACGGTGAACCAAAATTTGTAGTACGTGGATCAACATGCACTGATCTGGTTTCAGAAATATGGATTGGAACTTTCGCACGACAATCTCCTTGTGTAGTATGATTTTCACCATTATTGCACTCTCTATCTTTCAAGAAACGCATGTCTTTCCCCGCCAGATCAACATCATCTGTGTTGTTGGCTAGTTCCGACTCATCTTCTGGATCAAACCTACATAAAATATCAACAAATATCAGCGGTTTACGAGTGTAAATAAGTATGAAGAAGCTTATCTTTTATATTCATAACTTCATTGTTATGTTTTGTAAAAAACACCCACGCTATTTATGCTTAATAGGACTGTACCAAATAGGGCTTTTGTTACCGACTATACCTAAAAACTGTCCTCCACCAGTTCACCCCCAGTATTCAGGAAACAAATACAATTGATGGATTGATGACCTACCTTCAACTTTACTTATCCGGCCAGGCATTTTTAATATCCGGTGGATCCCTAAATATTTTTGCACTTATTATGAACTGGCCGCGCTAAGATGGGCCGTTCGTAATTATATACAGATTGCACGGGTGTGCTTGGGGAGGACGCAACTGGAGTTTTTCAGCGCGCGCTCGACCAGCATAGCCACTGATCTGTATATAACAGCATCGTACGATTTCCTTTCAAGCGCCCGAGTACGAGACTGTGATCGAGGTCATTATGCTTTAAAATTGTGTTTTTCACAAAACAACCAGTTTAATCCAAAAAATTCAAATTTACCATAAAGTATAATCCTCGAGGAGCAAATGATCGCTTTTTGACATCGGAACACAGAAGTAAACTGGTTCATCGCATTTGAGACGTCTCATGAAACGCAACCCTTTTACATTCCATTTAGTACTAAGACGATTTTCCTCGTGTTTTGGCGCCAACACAGCATGAAGTGTCTTCGGGCTGCTACCACATTTGTGCACAGCCAAAACGATCGCATGATGACAAGCTGGATTGTTCATATTCACCATACTAGCGCTCATTTGTGGCACAAAACTAACTGCTGTACTCGTCTTCACCACCGGCTGAACACTAAAAGTAGACAAGAAAACGTTGCAGTTTAGTTTTCCAATAAATAATATAAATTGTAGTCCGTCATTCTATGTAATTATTTCCCTGTCTCTGATATGGTACATGATACATTCTATGATACATTCTATATACATTGATACATTAGACATTCTATATACAACTATGATACATTCATAAATGGTTTTGCCATGCTAACCTCATTGAATAATTGGTAAGTCCCCCCGCCTCAAATACGCCTCTCTTGTTGGAAAATGAACTTGGTTAAGCCTGCTTCTCTTTTTAGTCCTTCCCCCTCCGCAATTCAAAATTGATTACGACATCTCAAATAAGCCTCAGATATGGTTCAAATAAATAAGACCTCGTTTGTCTTAGAGTATCAAAATGCAATAAAGTCGTTACAAGCGGCGCATGTGAAAAATTAATATTCTTTCCTGTTTATCCTTTTATGCTTTCCTTCGTGATTGAATCATAACAACTTATCAGAAAATAATCTTACATAATCACTTACTCTGAAAAATGTGTTACTGAAAACGAGAACTTCAGCTGATCCTTTCTTAATCGCTCAATAAAAACATCGTGACTTTCATTTAACGCTTGCCAGTTGTCTTTTAACCCGGTTTCGTTGTGATTGTGCATCAACAGCCCATACTCAGTTGTGAAATGAATCGATTTTTCAACTGGTAAAAAAATTTCTTCAATATTAACCACGTCACTGTGAGAGTATGTGAGCTCGACATCAACTGCTTTGAGGAATGGAGTCGTCTGGCCAGAAACTCTGATGATAGGCGCATAAACAAGACTTTTATTTAAACGTATATCTTTGTTTAGGACAGCATCAGCAGGAAACAACTGAAAGTGTAAATTTACACAGAAGTATGTGAGAGCTTGTTCGCTACATTCTTCTTCTTATGTGTGTGTTAAACTGCAGAATCCACACGCACCAGTCCAAGTTTCACGATCCTAACCTCCCACGATCTTTTAACTTTTTACACTCAGTCAAATGTGGATGTGACAATGAATGAGTATTAAAATCTGTATTAAAATGTGTAGGTATATAAAGGAAAGGTCGACCATTCCTGAAAAATGTAGAAAGATTGACGTGCAAAAATCTAAGTTCGCGCATATATTGTCCATCGGCCATCGCTATATAGCTAAACTGAAACCAAAGAGGCAACACTGAATTTGCAAGACATTAACTCATATGTTACTCACTGTAACCGCAGTGCATTGCGGGAAAACCGATTACCTGAACGTTTAAAATCAGTATCTTCTCTGTTACGCCAGCCGGAAATGTGATCTTTAGTTCTGCATTGTCTCCATACTGCTTAGAGAAGGCATAACGTCTGTTTGTTGGTATCAAAATCTGATTGAATGTGGCTCGTGTTGCAGCAACTAAGGTACAAGTCTCACGTATAGTCGCTTTGGCAAACGGCAAGCAGTTTTCCAAAATTTCTTTATTAGATATTTCTTTTGGAATATCTAAAAAACGAAAGTAACTGCCAAAATCTTCAACAATTTCAGAGGGCTGAGAAAGGGAACTTAAAGGGAAATGGCAATATATTTTTTATTTTCTCATTTGAACGAGCTTTTAAGACTATAATAATACTCTTTTACCATTTTTTTTTATGTTGCTCACTTCTACAAATAATTTGATCGAAAGTAATAAACATGCGGCTAAATCGAGGAATGCACATTTGCCCGACGCCATCTTGAATCATTATTAACTGGGGACATCCGTGGTTATCTTATGATAATAATGAATTAGTAAAATGGTTATCCATTAAATGAATCGAAGGGTAGTTTCGAAATGTCCATCTACCGTGCAACAACTATGTGCTCACTATACAAAAGTAAATTTGCGTGCCAGAGACTAAGTGTCGATTAATGCATACAAATCACTGTGAAAAATGTCGATACGCGAAATGCTGTTATTTTGTATTTTCAATCGGTTTATTTAACTTTATATGAAATCAAAAGCTAAAATCAGTCATTATAATATGATTATTTATGATTTAAAAGCATCAAAAATGTATTTATTGTGATTTTTGCTGCTGTAAACTAGCTTTATTTATATACATATAAACAATTTAGTTTTAGGCATGTGCGAGCGACAATTATCCAATCAGAATCCAATATTTTCATTTTCCCGCGAATACGTTTGTTTTGATTACATCATTCATGATAGATACTATGACATCATAACTGAGACCCAGGTCATTGCGCGGAATTCAAGATGGCGTCGGGCAAATGTGCATTCCTCGATTTAGCCGCTAGTAAGGAACAAAAGGTCCGCCATCTTAATTTTATGTAGATATGCATGTCACGTCATATCAACAACAGGGTCACGTAATATTTTATCAAGACAACCACTGATCATTTTTCACTCAAAACCTTACTCTGTTTGGCCCTTCGAAATATCAAGATCACTCAAAACCTTTAAAACATCTACCAATCAATATTTGGTCGACAACGAATACTTTTATATGGTTAAACCCTGTTGTGACGTTACTAACACCACCGTTAATGAGATCAAAAATTTATTCAAGATGGTGAACATCTCATTACTTCAAGTGAAAATATTTCAAGAACTAAGCAAGATATGAAAAATCGGTAAAAGAAGTTAATATATAGTTTCAAAAATTCTTTCAAATGAGAAAATAAAAATTTATATTGCCATTTCCCTTTAAGACGAAAGAGGAGGCTGATTTTGCCGAAACGCAGAAAAGAGCATGGGAGAGCGTATCTGTATGGTAATAACTTCTTAAACGACCCAGTATAGCTGACGCGAAATTTAAGTTGAAAGTTTTGCGAATAGGTTTATTCTAATAACATTGTTTAAATTGCAATACCTTCAATGGAGCTTATTCGTTCTGTCTTTAACTCCTGACAACCATTCGGGCTTAAATTTTCAACGATTAACTCATAAAAATACAGAAAGACCTGGTCCTCGTCAAGCGAGTGAGATAAAAGAACTGTCACAGGTTTCTTAAACGTCACACCTTCGGGTTCAACTTTGAGGATCCGGCTTACGAATACTTCTCCATCCCTTGGCTTCACTTCACATTCTTTATGCTTCACTCGACTACACTTTAAAGTTACTGTCTCATCAACAGCATTTGGTGGAAATAGGAGGAAAGCACTCACTTCTGGAAGGCTAAAGCATCCACCTGTCTGGTCAACTGTGATGCTAAAAGAAGAATAATGGTAAAATATATATTAAGCTGCTGTGGATTTGTGTCCAAACTTCGAAAAATTTGGAATTAGAACACAAAGTTAATTGTAGATTACTTAATCAACAGATGTTACCAGGACATCTGCAATAGTGAAATAGCCAGACACTTTATATTATTCTCAGACATGTTAATATTAATTCATGCTGCAGAACTCAGAAGCAGGCGCGTAGCCAGGGGGGGATTGGTCTTGACCCCTCCCTCACTTTTTGTAATGATCAATATTGCAATTCTTCCAAAAGTGAGAAGAAACTAGGGGGGGGGGGGTTAAACTTTCTTTATATATTAATTTAACGTGTTATATTATTAGCTTATTACGCACATGCTTTGTTATTCTCGTAAATATTTCATCTATGGCATAAAATAGACCAAATCTGTGGCATATAGATCACCAAAAGGCCATGCCAAATATGCGCGTGGGTTTCGCTAACCTTAAAATTGAAAAATTTCCGGGGACTTTTAGAACAGTACTTTTATGTATTTGGCACTTTAGACCCCCCTCCCCCCATTCGTATGGGGCTGGCTACGCCGCTGCTCAGAAGAAAACAATACCGTATAATTGTCTTGATATACCGTGGCTATTTAAAGATGATCTACAGTCCGATCTGCGCATGTGCACAAATGAGCCCACTTTTTATGATACAAACGGTTTAACTATGTTTTGAGTTTTTGAAAAGCCTGATTGTTGTTTCTTGATCATTTGTTATACTCTAGAAGCTTGAAAATATAAATAGTTGTCGAATACAGCTCAATATTTTGGACACAAAAATGTAAACAAAGGCTTTGTTTACATACGGACTGTAGATCACCTTAATATTTAATATCTAATATCATTTTAGTCAATTTACTCTTTTCTGACTGGTTAAAAACCGTGCCGATTAAACATTAATTGGCAGGGTGTGCTGTATGATTAAAGATTAATCGGCACGAATACGATCTAAATAAACAACGTGAAAATTTATATTTTCTGAGCTCTTATTTTGCAATGAGCTCTTTAAGTATGTTTGAAAAATAAAGAAAAAGAAAAAATAAAGATTATTCAGTTGTATATGCATGAAATGAATTCGCAGAGTATGAATTGAAAATTAATGCCAGAAATTACTCTCAAAATTGACATATGGCTGTGCTCGCTTGAATATATCAAAACAATGTTTCTTATCATTGATCGTGTAAAATTGACTATAAAATTATATTAATAGGAAATTACACTTGTTTTCGAAGTGTATTAATGAAAAATCACATTTGTGTGTTTGTCGAAATATTTATAATACCGCGATTGCGTATTATAATTTCGCCAAACACTCGCGTGCGATTTTTCATTCATCACAGCCTTGTAACATAGTCTATAAACACATAGTAAATCAAATGTTGTTTTTCAACAATTTTTTGTATATTGAATAACTAGAAGAATCCGATTCCAATATTTTTTACTTTGTTTCTTGCTATACGTCAACATACGGATAATTTCAGGGAAATATCGTACCCAATCCTTCTCTGCACCTATTCTGTTGATTTCTCTGCCTTTCTGCCTGTGTAGAAAGTAGCTGGGTGGGCCAAAGCACAAAGGGGGTGGGTCACTGTGTTCTTAGCCTCATCAATGGGGTGAGTCATGCAATTGTTAGTCTCTCGTAAGCGGTGGGTCATGGGGTGGGTAATTCTATTTTAGGCCATCAATAAACGGGCGTAGGCCCGGGGCGAGGGTACCATAAATTCCGCACAGCAATTTACACCCGTGGAAAGGAAAGTATTAGTGAAGTCTAAAGTTCATCAATAATCGTGGGTGCATGGCTATGGTTACGGTGCATGGGTGGTCATCTTCACTGATCTCAAAATATAGCGGACTGTTTTTTTGAGCTTTTGACCAATCAGCGCCCGTATTTTTAAAAGGCTATTTTATAAAATAGTTTTGTCAATAAGGCGAGGGTTACTCATAGAACTATGAGACCTAGAATGTGTGCTCGTATCCTTTCTCAGTAAACAAGTGACGCAACATTAACTATTCAAAATGGCCGATTTATAAGGGCAAATTAAACCCGCCCCATGACATTTTGCTATAGGCCACTCCTCAGACAAATCCAACATGGCCAATTTATAAGGCAAATTAAACCCGCCCCATGACGTTTCGCTGTGGGCCACCCCTCGGACAAATCCAACATGGCCAATTTATAAGGGCCTTTTGTTTTCAATTTGGACACCGGTCACATGACCAAGCACGCATTTTAGGTCTAATATTTCTATGCGGTTACTGCACGCAGTATATTCCATTTATTAAATATAAATTTAACATTTTGAGAATGTAGGAATTTTATATGTATTTTATATTTGTATTATAAAAAGCAACATTTGAAGGAAAATGTTATTAACAAATACCTGAAGTTTGGGGTGGGTCATGTTATTTCCAGCCAAAATCCGGCCCTAACTATTTCACTTTACCAAATATAGCGACCTTGGACTAAAGGTTTTAAAAATAATATTCTATACCTGTTATCAGCAGTTTCTCCATTGCTTTCAATAATTGAAACACTATACTCTGTGGCATCAGTAATTGGGTTTTTACCTTTGTTGTCATCTTCACCAATGTCCAAATTCAATGAACGGAATACTGCCACGTCTGAATCAATCATTCGTCTGTCAATCAAAGGGTTGTAAATTTTTTCATCCACTTGTATCGTCGCTGGCCACTCTTTAACAGTTGGTGGTGGTTTAAAAAACATTCCGACAAACTCAAACAAGATCTTGTTTATTTTAATGACGAATTCAGCAATTTCAACCGACACTTCCACTTGTTCAAAAGAAGTGGTTTTCGTTTCTTTTCTATCCAGGAAAGAAAACATATCTCGAATTGTATGTAGGTCGTGAAGGACTTGTAAGGATTGTAGACAACGAAGAACTGCAGCTTCTGGCTTGGTTAAATTTGAAAGAATTGCTGATATAATTGTCAGTTCTGCAGCAAGGACTTTAACTGCTATAGATGACTCATTCGAAAAAGCTTTAGATGCTTCCTTGAAAGCAATTTCGGATGTCGTAATGCTTTGTTTCAATTTAATGTCATCATCAGCCTGCAAGGACCAACTTTCCAGCCAAGAAACAGTACACCTTAAATAATATACACATTTTCGTACGTGTTGCGAATATGAATAACAACGTTTTATTATTGCACATTTATATCGAATTTCGTCACAACAACGGCTCAAAGACAAAGTCGACTCATGTTCCCAACAATCGAACGCAGCAATGCTAACCAGATTACAAACGATATGTAGGCTTTGAACTACGGAAAAGAGAGATAAAATATATAGTGAAAAATATAGAAAATCTATGATCGAATTATGGGGAGGTAACGCAGTATTTAATATTATATAATAACTACAGTGAAACACGCAATTTGATTGGCCAATAGCCATGCAGGATCAGGCTATCCTGCACGAGGAATTAAAATGCCTTCGCGGGATTCTCAAAATATCATTGTTTCACTGTAGTTATTTTATAAAACAATTACCAGATGGTTTTCCAAGCAGGATAGCGTGATCCTGCACTTGGGATGTTGCTCGACTATCGGAAAGCGTAAAAATACACTCGCCTGCGGCTCGAGTATTTTTACGCTTTCCGAAAGTCTCGCGACATCTCTCGTGCATGGATCACGCAATCCCATAGATATCTCATATACACTAGATAGCGCATCTCGGAATACAAAACTGAAGCCAAAAATCTCAGCGGTTTCCCCCATGAAAATAGGCGGCGGCCATATTGGTCGTTCCCACTCATCAATGAAATGCTATAGAAAATACTATACTTTTCGAGGCTTTTTTGCATTTCTGGATTAAACATACCTTTTTGAGGTACGTTCGCCTTGAAATCGCAGCTTTTTTGGAAAAGGGTACAAGAAAAAACATTAATTGGCGATGTTGTTGTCTTTGAATCGCATTTTAAAGCTAAAAATTTCGAATTACGACATTGGCTTTATATACTTGTTTTGAATCTGTGAGTGATTCTCTGGTGAAGTGTCGTCTAATCAATACATGTACTTACGGTTTCTGGCACCACTTTATGGAAATGGAAGTTGGTAAGTAACGTTTCGACTATCGGCGTAGGCAGTTTATACTGTAAAAACAGAGTCTGCACTTTCAGTTTGGGCAGTTTTCACTGTAAATCTTTAGTGACGTGTTTGAGACAGTCTGAGTCTGCACTTTCAGCTTGGGTAGTTTTCACTCTAAATCTTTAGTGAAACGTTTGAGACAGAGTTTACACTTTCAGCTTGGGCAGTTATCACTATAAATCTTTAGTAAAATTATGTTTGAGGCAGAGTCTGCACTTTCAGCTTGGGCAGTTTCATAGTAAATTTTAGTAATATTTAGCTTTCTCTGATACATTCTGTGTAATCACTCACACTGGTGCTTAAAAGGTACAAGTTTATTTAATTTCTTTCTAATTTTTTGTCCAGATGAATTCTCAGTGGTCTTTTTTCCAAGATGGTAAATTTAACCTCACAGTAACTCTTGATGATGCTCTTGGTCAACTGAAATATATAACATGATTTTCACCAACTGGTGAGTCAAAAATATGGTGATCTAGCTCAGTAAAAAGATTGTGTATGGACAATGAAGCCAGAACATATGGACAATGAACAATGAAGCCAGAACAGAAGTGGTCAGAGCATATAAGTGTCTGCTTTCTGAGAACAGAACAGTATGGACAATGCAACCAGAACAAAAGTGGTCAGAACATATAAACATCTGCTTTTTGGGTGACCACTTTTCTTGATGAACATTTTGTATCAACTGTTTTCATAGTACTTCATCCTTAGGGATGTTTATCATGTTAATGCAGGTCTAATTTCAATCAATATAATAGTATACTGTAAAAAACTAAAAATAAATTGCTTACTGATGAAATGTCCTGGGAAGTTTTCTTTTGATTTTTGATTCTGTCACAATTGACCCTTCACTATTACTTCTTATACTTTTTGCATCAGGAATGACTTTACCCATTGCTATGAAATTTTCTGAGTTTAATTCAAATTTTTAATTTCAATTGGCACCAAAACTTCTTCAGGTCTCCAAATTTTTTTTTTAAATTGGACATTTTTTAATGCTATTTACAGTAACCACTAAACTCAAAAGGCAAAAATTGAGAGTTTATCATGTTTTCAATTCCTGAGAGTACTGGCAAATTTATTTTATTTTTTTAGAAAAGTTTAATTATTGTGCATCTGATGAGTCAAAGAATTAGAAAACACTATTACACAAAGTCAAAAGTAATACTTTATTATAACAATAGAATTATTTATACAATATTTAGTGAGTGCAACTATATTTAAGATTATAAAATCTACTGTGCATCAAGCAGTTTATCCCATTGACCTTACAATATACAATAATGCAAGAAGTAATGTGTCTCATTACAAAATAGGGTTTCCCAAAGCAGTTCTAAAATTCAGCTGATTATCAATGACCTATGCTAGCTGTTAATAATTACAGTAATTTGGCAGTTTGATTGCTTGAATTAAAAACAAAAGGTCTAGGACTCAACAGAAAGAAATATTTCTTAACATCAAATATTAAAGATAGTTTGAAGCATTCATACAATTGAAGGTTTTAGAAAGTTTGATTATCAACTACATTTACATAAAGCAATATCAATTATGTTATATTGCCTGCGAATATACTAAGTTGCAATTATTCTTCTCTAGCTTCTAACACATTTTAATCTTGATGTGATTTCATGGAACTATAAAATAATATATATGTTGTATGTATGTAATAAATATACAAATAGTAAGGAGTAAGAACCATTTTTGGTGTCAATGTTTTATATATTGACTATTTAAGATTTTAAGTCTATTTTTGCCATTGATAAACTGTGACTAAAATATGTTTTTCAGTGTCGCTGTCTTTCACAAAAGAATATGCAAATACATTCACAATTTTGCCATGAAGCAATGGCGATTGCTCAAAATGTTTTATTTGGAATTGGTGAAACTATATTTATATATACATCAACAATGATGGTTTGTCCATAAAGTTTGTCCTATGGGCGCCCTTCATACGGGTCGACAAATATTGATATTTTCGAAAAAAATAATTAAATTCTGCCTACCCGTTATTCACAATATGAAGCTCCAACGATCTGGCATCATTTACAACAAGTTGCACACTTGAAAAACCAAAATTGACTGCATAAAAGCGGATTTATTGTCAACTTTGTCCATTTCCGCAATACAAAATATACAAATTATCACGCTCCGTGGGAACGACCAATATGGCCGCCGCACGTAAACTGCGACTGCGATCAGGCTTCAATTTTCGCCTGCCTACAGGGTGGGATGCGCTATCTAGTGTATATGAGATATCTATGCGCAATCCTGCATGAAAAACCATTCGGTATTCCTTTAATAATAAATAATAACATGCGGAAACGAATAACTATAATTATTATACATTTAGTATGTATTCTCGTTCCTGATTGGTCAGAGTGCACCGGATAATTCTCAATATTCGGTACTTATTATGTAATTTTGGCTGCTGACGTGCTCAGCGTCCAATAATAGTTTTTCTGGTCTGAATAATTTTTTACATCATGTTCAGCCTCATCCAATAATTGTTTATTAAATACGCCGATTTTGGAAATGTCTATTACCAGGGTGTCCACCCTTTGGTGAAGGTGAAATTCAAGGACTTTTCCAGGACTTTCAAGGCCCTTTTTCAACAAATTTATCTTTATTCAAGGTTTATCCTAGAGGCTAGAACTGGAAAAACTTATGAAAATGGCACGGATTTAACGCAAATAGTTCACTAATAATTATTCAGCAATTTTAATAAAAATCACTAATATTGGCATAGCTGCGCATGGAGGTTAAGGAAATTAATTCCAGAACTTTCAAGGACTTTTAAAGATTTTCAAGGACTTTCCAGTCCTGGAATTTTTTTTTCCAATTCAAGGACTTTCCAGCATTTTCAAGGCCCGTGGACACCCTGCTATTACGAGTCACAATTATTCCCGCCCACTTCCACCGGCACCGCTGATGGTACAAATATCTTGCAAAGCTTGTACTGCATGCATTTACAAATATCTTGCAAAGCTTGTACTGCATGCATTTACCTATTGATCGTACAAATAGTATAATGTACACAGGAACCCGGTACAGGCCCCTCGTTGTACAGCTCAGTGCTGAACAATGCACAATAAGGATGATCAAACAATCTAGCAAAAATTAACATAACTGAGCTCGCTGAACCAATCCAGCTCTCTTGCTGGTCACAACTATTATTCTGATTACTTTAGCAATGCTAAACTACCAGTTTCACAATCAATGCGAAATGTCTGGAAAAAGTCTTAACAGAGCTAATTGTAGCTCAAAAATACACACCATTGCAAGACTTTTCCTGGCAGGCTGTTTATAGATCTATTCGACATGTTATAGACAATTTTCTAAACCTACTCTTGATTATCAATTTCTATAAAATGCTATACAGTCCACAGGAGTGGCACTAGGCATCTTTGAATTGGGGGCGTGTAAGTGAAATTGGCCGAGTTATATCAAGGGAGATTTTGGAGAGTCACTTCAACCACCAATTAATATTTCTTTTCCCAAAATTGTTCCCTAATGTTTTCGTAGATTTCTCCACATTTTAGCTTTCATTATCAATTTCTATCAGTGTCACTCAAAATATTTTAATGGTTTTCTTCCATTCAAATTCATGTTTTGCCGACTACGAAAACAATTTTGCAGACTATACCACCCCCTACACACACACACACACACCAACACACCCTTTAGCGCCAGTGCGGCCCCTGAGTCTATTTTAATTTGTTTTATAATTTATATAAAAATGCTATAGTCTATACAATCGACGCGGAAATAACGCAACAAAAGCAGTGTCATAGAGTGGTAGAATTTATCCAGGAAAATTTTTTCAAAAAAGTAAAACAAGTCTTTACTCTTTATGAAATTATTATTAAATAAAAGAAGTCACACTTACGCATGGCATAACAACTTTCAATTGTGAGATTCTTGTACTTTCTTATTTGACAGAATTCATCCAACCAGATTTCTTCATTCGGTAAACTCAGTCCACTAAACCTGTTTAATTCTTCCAACTCCATTTGCCCTTTATATATTTCTTCCGTAGATGTAACATCTGCAACAGCAAAATGAAATAATAACACTTTCAATAGACCATTCCCATGATATAGACTAATTTTTTGATGTTGGCAAAAAGTATATTCCTGGAGAGAGCATACTAAAATGAGTAAAAATGCAAAGTTTGTTTGCCAAAGGTTGTAAAATGCGGAAAATATAGTCTTGTAAATCCGCAAATTTTGTATACTTTTGTATTGCGTGCGGAAATTGCTACCACCATGATTTAGGCCGAAAATGGTACCAATTTCCGCGCGCAATACAAAATTATACAAAATTTGCAAACTTTGCAAGGCTATATATTTTCCGCATTTTACTCATTTTAGTATGCTCTTTCTAGCTGTTGTGATTTATTTGCATCTCTTTGCCTAGTTTTAAAATTAGTCTATAATGGGAATTGTCTATTGATATGTTAAGCTAAAAATCAGGTTCATTCATTTGGGCGAACAGTATTTTACTGATTGTAACTCTTGAATCAATAAAGCTTCTTTTATCTTCTTTTAACTCTTGTATCAATAAAGCTTCTGCTTCTATTCTATCAGATTTCTTTTTGTGCACAATAAACGTGTTTATAGCCACTTTATGAATTATATTATACTTTTAGTCTTTTTGTTATACAATACGAGCAAGCAATAAATATTTTGTTATTGAAAAATCTCTAAGAAAATGAGGAAAAAATGAAAATATAAATAGAAGGTACCTTTATGCGCAACTAAATTAGGATTACAGTTCATAGGATCTAGCGAGAACCTAGACCCAATGGATTGTTATTCAATATGATTATTAAACAATAGATGTCTAACCTCCACCACTCTGTATATAAACAGCATCCTCAAATATAATCCTGCAGGTTCGTTTGGACAACCCCAAACCACTGGCCGTGAGTTCTACGAATTCCTTGCCACTATGATGAAAAATTGAAGAACTAAACACCTTCCCACTATTTAGTTGTTCTAATAGATCTTGACGGTCAAAGGAATTGTTGGAAAAATTCAACTCTTGTAGCTTGATGCATTCTTTGAAATCAGGTAACTTTGTAAGATCACAACCAGACAAATCTAACTTTTTCAACTCATAGGGAAGTAAATATTCCAAGGAAGATATATCTAAATTGCTTAGAGGGTTATTAGATAGATTCAGTTCTTCCAGACTCTCACAGTTATCAAGACCCTTGGGTAACTTTGTAAGACCACAACCAGACAAATCTAACTTTTTCAACTCATAGAGTGGTAAATATTCCAAGGAAGATAAACCTAAATTGCTCAGAGGGTTGTTAGATAGATTCAGTTCTTCCAGTCTATGATGGTAACGAAAACACGGTATCTTTGTAAGATCACAACCAGACAAATCCAACTTTTTCAACCTATACCAAAAGAAATATTCCAAGAAAGATATATCTAAATTGCTTAGAGGGTTGTTAGATAGATTCAGTTCTTCCAGTCTATTATGGTAATGAAGACCCTCCGGTATCTTTGTAAAACCACAACCAGACAAATCCAACTTTTTCAACCTATACCGAGAGAAATATTCCCAGAAAGATATATCTAAATTGTTTAGAGGGTTGTTAGATAGATTCAGTTCTTCCAGACTAGCATAGTCATCAAGACTCCCGGGTAACTTTGTAAGACCACAACCAGACAAATCCAACTTTTTGCCAGATCGCTTAGATTTAATTAATACAGATGTCTCTGAAAGGCTTACATGAGGTTTGTTCCATAGATCCACTTTCGAGGGGTTGTATGAATAATCTGTTTTTGGTTCTTGCTTGGGATTTTTTATTAGGCTGATACCTTTAGTCTGACGTGGGTCAATTTGCGACGATGGTGAGCGAATGAAATCCTTAACATTTTTCTCTTTGTCGAGTTTAGTTGAAGCATCTATTGTTCCTGACTCTATGTGGGAAAATGGTTCAGCCATAACTGCAGACAGTCATACCTCTACAAACAAACAATGAATTTGTGCTAGAAGTTGTTAGTTTACCGTATTTCCTCTTTTTAGACCTACTCCCTCTTCTAATTAGCCCTCAGTCCAGAAGAAATAATGGAATAGACATGGGACATCGGTTTGTAGCAAATGGTAAAAGGGCAATGACATACAGTGTAGATTGATTTACGATACTGAAGATAACAACAATCTGCACCATCTTTATCAAGATGGTCCATCAATATAAAAAGTTATTAGTTATTTATATAAACGTTTTTTAAGCATGCATGCATGCTTAAAAATTTTGTGCGTATTCGCAGGCCTCAAATACTTAGTATTTGGACGTTGACAAACACAATTGTTTGCCATGCATGTCATACTTTATTATATAGTAGAGAGTGAGACACTGAAAAATACACAGTGAGATATTTTCCATATCATCACTAATGAAGATATCGATCACATGACTTTTAGTATTTAATATACAATTTTTTGCTTGGGACTATATCAGTAATAAACAGAACATTACACGATGGCTTGAAGATATGACTTCTATCTTCTCGTGTTAAAAACAATATTTTACTACAAATGAGCACAGCGAGTTTGTAAAATATTGTTTTCACCACTCGAAGATAAAAGACATATCTACGAACCGCTGTGTAATATCCTCTACATATCTGAGCCAGGAAGTTTTGATGACAAATGCAAGTGAGTTGCGAGCGTATGCTTTAGCCACAATGTCTGCAGTGAATTGACAGGCAAAACTTCAGCTTTTCTCGGTAAACAAGAAATTGTGGGAAACACAAATTCGCTCGGGAATGTATTTTTACATTAGAAAAATTTGCCGGTCATGCATCACTATGCATGTCCAGTAAGAGACAGTATTTGCCTGTCATGTCAAAATGAAAACATTTACCGGACAATGACCAGCACTCATTTCGAGGCCTGCATATTCTGACGTAATTGGTTTGTACGATAAGCATACTCTATATAGGCACACGCTGAATACGCTAGAGATACGTCAGATTTACGGTACTCATACACTTGCATTTCAAAGGATTATTGTTTGCATGAAAATTCTTTTATTAATTTTCATATGCTTTCATACATTTCTCTCAGACGTAATTTAGTGTGGCAGGGCCTTTAGGAAAGAGTAACCTTCCTAATACTAGTATGGGTAGCTGGTGGTTTTAAGGGGTTGGGGCACCTCACCTCCCTAATTTTCGCTGCCCAACTCAACCCAAACCCTTAAAAACCACCAGCTACACAGATTAGCCTAATTCAGACAGCGAAAGAAGAAACAGGCCACTATGTCACAATTTGAGACGTAAGTGCTCACTAACTAAATTTAAAGCAATCCACACTAACATTAATGTCTTTTAAACTGTATCTTCAGAATCAACAGAAGCCGCTACCTGGCAAATTTCTTTTATGTTGTAATTAGTAAACCAGGTTCACATACGCCGCCAGGGTTTTATCCAAGCACCAACTGACCTCCAGTAAACGGAGGTAAAAACTCAATCATGGAATTGAGTTTTTAAACTGAATCTTTCCCACAACGAAAAGAAAAAACAACAAAAAATCGATCGTCGACGTTATGGGTGGGTGGGTGGGTTTTTATGTTACGTTACCTTGTGGCAATTTACATCCGAACAGACCGAAGTTTAAATATTTAATGTTTGCCGTGCAACTTTTGCCAGTATGAGAAGTGCGACATTTGAAACAGGCCTTATTAGCTCTCTATATTTTTCATACAATATAAATATATGCATTACTTTTTTGTCTTTTTACAATTAAAATAGGGCATGGTTATAAACATAACTATTAAACATATTTTTTATAAATAGACTAATAGAGGTCGTTGGTCAAAACATTAAGGTCGAAGTATTGAAGTGACATTTTTTCATGTCAAATACCCGTCAATTTGTGTTTGCGAATCGCGACATTTTTCTGCGAGACAAATATAGTTCAGTATGCAGTATGAAAATAATAATAAAACATATCCTATAAAACTTCTCATATTTTATAATAAAGATCCTACATTAAGTGGCGTCGTTTTGAATTGAAGCCTCAGCATTAAATTGATTGATTAAAGATGATGTCCACTACTGTACACAAACTGCACATGCGCGAACTTTGTTTACGTTTTGAATTGCTGTATTTGAAATTTGCTGAATAAGATGCTTGTGTGATGTTACTCTGAGTGTATATCCACACCGGGCAGGCTTGAAAAATATGCCTGGCCACGGTTAACCTGAAGTTCAGGCCCTAATCACAGAATAGGGCCTGACACAAAACCTATCTAAACTGTGGGATTCCCGTCCACCTGGTGGACGGGAAATCTGATTGGTTGATCAGCATCATGAAGGATTTTGATTGGTTGCAAGTTCACATAAACAACAGTTTTAAAAATAGCTTGGTCAAGGGAAGGCGACAATTACTGTAATATAAAGCATATAAAGGTCAAACGCACGTACGTAACAAATTCCATTATCGATTTCTTTGAATTTCTTTTCTTTTATGCTTTATAGCAGAAAATAAATCAAACAAACAGTATTTTGAAAGGGCTTCATCAAAATCTTTGACGAATTTTGGACACACACAACGCTGAAAGAACAGCCAAACTACTGCATGCATTCAAAAGCTTGTTGTTGACAGCCAAGATGTTCTGCCAACTGGCTTCGCCGGCAAAAGTCTTATTTTTATTTTTTAATATCAGGTCCTACCGGCGTTGTTTTCTGAGCTACATTGCCTTCTTCGTGGTACGATTGAGAATTTCATTGTTGCTGTTGTTAGCCCGTTAGTCGTTAGAGTATATCCACGTCCAGCAAGTTGAGACCTTGAGAAATTCAGAAAGCTTGGCAGTCAAGCCGTGCACAGAACTGACTAATTAAATCTTTGTTTGCTGTTCGGTTAAATAGAGAAACTGACTCTTAATTATATAAAAGTACCTTGAATTTTTAAGTTTAATTAAAAAGCAAAATGCACACTCTGCGAAAATGTTCATGAGAATATAATTTTTGTTGTGTAACGAAATATACAACACTTGTCAATCATATTGCATGTGGGCGTCCCACAGTCTAGACAGGTTTTGTGTCAGGCCCTATTTCAAATTAGGGCCTGAACTTCAGGTTAGGCCACGGTGGGATTCGAACCTATGACCTTTGGAATACTAGCCCATTTGTAAAATATTATATACTAAATGAATATCTATAAATATTATATACTATATGAATATCACTTTTCGGGTTCGCGTTCGCCATACTTGTACATAAATATAAACTGTACGTTTCAATTCAAAAAGTTCGAAAGATGCAAAATTTGGGCAATGTTTATATCTGGGGGTCCCCCTTTGTTATGAGCAGAACTGATGCGCAGAACGGAGTACATCATCTTTAATATATACCATATTTTTGCTGCCGAAGGCAGCACTCCTAATAGGTTTCTCGCTCACTCGACCCAGTCTTTCGTGCCGATCTATGTATTGGCGAGATTGAGATCTTGTGTCTGTCCAGATGTCATAATTCCGGGGGGACGGGCGAGTGCAACAAAAATATTGAATTGCGTGCACATAATTTGCAAGCTTTTTACTCCGGATCTGAAAATGCAAAATATACAAATACTTCCCGAAGAAACCAGGTTAGTAAGGCTTTATTTCTTTGTGCAAATATCCATCAAGGCGATGAAGAACTATTTGACATTTATTCTAGAGGCAAGCAATGTGCTTTTATTTATCAGCGCTTCTTAATACTGTCCGAAATATACCATTGTCCGCATGCTCGTTTAGAACATTTAATAATGTCTTAATACAAAGAGACAAGATGTACTTAAGAGCTCTGAGTCTGAGGTATTGAAACAATATGATTTCATGAATTTACGGGCAGTTTTAATAATAGCACACCCAATCTATTTGTCAATAATGCCTTTATTTATACAGGAAGTCAAAATGTACTTTATATAGTTTATTTGTTTGTTTATATGTGCCAAGCCAGCCAAGACAATGAGTTTATATAGTGTTCATTTTCTAGATGTTTATAGTTTAAAAACAAATGCAGAATGTTGTTAAATCAGGCTTACTGTAATAAGATTCCTAGAGCAACCCAGTGTGGATTGTTGTCTGGACATATTGTCTATTGACTTACCAGTAATTACAATCTACATGTAATAGTATGTATGTCAACTGACTTTTGTATAAGGCCTCTGAGATATGTCCATTGTTAGCATAAGATGAAATAATCCTACCGGCCTATATTCATATATTTATCTGGCTGTGTAATTATTATTTCAGAGTATATTGTATTTTTCGATAATGCTCACAATTTCTTTCTTATTAAAGTTTTGCAGTTCTGACTGAGTACAATCATAATCATTACAATGGTGTCATTTGAAGCTGACATATTAATCAGTTGTTCTGAGATATGGGCAGCCTTGAAGTTGGCATTAAAACATGCAATAATTGGAACAAACCCCGACTTAGTATTTTTATATAAACATTGTACAGCTATGCTATTTAACCTGCATCTACTTGAATAATGCAAATCATTAAAAACTTGCATACATAGCATGACCTGTTGCTATGGCTCGCTTCACCACTGACAGTATTATAATTATACATACAAAAGCAAGAAGTTATAAGCATTGAAGATATCCATATAAAACTTAATTTTTTAGTTTGAATTTTTGTTTTGAATAATTTTGCAAAAATTTTCGAAGTCGTGTCCGTTAAAATCAACAATTTTTTACATGAATTGTATTTCATTCCATACTTTAAATGCCAGGATGCTTTCAATTAATGTCTAGTCTACCCATTTGCTACATTTTCTCGTTTGTTTTACTAATTTTTGACCAATTAATAAGCATGTTTTTGTTTTAGAAATTGATATTCAAATTACCCGCCATATTTGGCATGTAGTAAAACACTGACTACCGGAACACCGGAACACCACCGGAACACCCAACCCTCGAAATTCAACTATTTTTGCCTCGGCAAATAATTGCCGAAGCCTTTCGATAATTTTCGAGTTTGCCTCGGCAGTGCCTCTGCAATTTTTTTTGCCGAGGCACGCAATGAAATCACCTTAAATTCCTTCGGCAATTACTTTGGCACCCTTCGGCATTCACGTCGGCAGTTGTAATTAAAGTAAAGTACATACGGAAATTATTGTAAACAAATATTATAACGAGCGTAGATTCTGACGTTTGACAATTTGTTGTTATTTTACAAATTCCTGATTCAAAATGTTTTTAAAAAGTTAGTGGTAATTTACAACCAATTGTATCAAAGAATAAACTTGACGGTAAAATCACGCGACAGTCTAAAAGATAAAACAAAGTTTCTCAACGTACCGTCTGTAAATCATCAAGATTGTTCTTTATTTCAACCGAAGCCGACGCTGAAAAGCTCAAATTTAAATATTTTGTAAAGTATAGCTATGAATGAAATCTTCTGTTGTTCACCCGACGTCGATGACAACAATTCGAACAAAGAAGTGATACAAAAAACGAACACAGTCGCTGTAGTTTGTATATTTAAGGAGAAAAAAACGAACAGACACTGTAGTTTGTAATTTAATTAAGGAACAGCGGGTGGAATTGCCTCGGCATTTTTTTGCCGAGGCAAACTATGAAAAATCGTAACTTGCCTCGGCATTTGCGTCGGCAATTGCCGAGTGCCGAGGCAAATTTCGAGGGTTGACACCGGAACACCACCTAATCCTAACCCTAACCCCAACCCTAACCCCCAACCCTAACCCTAACCCTAACCCCCCAAAAAATGTTGGTGTTCCGGTGGTGTTCCGGTGTTCCGGTAGTCAGTGTTTTACTACATGCCGCCATATTTACATAATTTGGTGCATGCGCAGACGTTTTTCCGCGGTGTTGGGAGCAACATTTGGATGTTGTTAATATTTCGCTCTTTCCGAACTTTCTTGAATTGAATCTGTAGTCTGTATTCATTTACAAGCATAACGAGCCAGAAAAGTGTTAAAAATTCAGTATAATATATACAGTATCTAATCATATTTTACAACTGTAGGCTGTAGCAGTGAGTTCAAAATGTAAACAAAGCGTGTGTTTACATTACGGACTTTACATCACCTTTAAAAAGAGGCACTAATGGCACTTTGCCATTTGAATTTTGAGCTTTTTTAGCTGTCAAAATACGACAGGGTATTAACGATCGACGTTATCTGAGGTGGGTGGGTACTGGTGATAACGTCGATTCGACGTTATGCGTTGGCAACATGAATTATGAATATGGACGTGGCTCCATATAATGGCAGATTGCATTTATTATCCGCACAGGGGGGGTTGAGGACATCCTTTTCAGTTAAAATGCCACCCCCGGAATTTGGCTTATTTACATCCCCCCTCTGGAATTTCCGAGCTTTCATTGTCATATCCCCCTGGAAAATACCTTTGAATTGCATACCCTCCCCGGAAATTCCAAGAGAAAAAATGGAGAAAAGCCCCCTGGAAAAGTGTGATATTCGGAACTGCCCTTATTTTATTGCCATACCCCTTGGAAACTATCTTACAATTGTATACCCTCCCTGGAAATTCCAAGGAGGCAATGAAAAAAGCCCCCTGGAAAAGTGACATTTTGTTAGGGTCCCCTGGAATTTCCAAACATTTTAATTCCTTGGAATTTCCGTATTTCATTGCTATACCCCCGGAAAATATCTTACAACTGTATACCCTCCCTGGAAATTCCAAGGAGGCAATGAAAAAAGCCCCTTGGAAAAGTGACATTTTGTTAGGGTCCCCTGGAATTTCCAAACATTTTAATTCCTTGGAATTTCCGTATTTCATTGCTATACCCCCGGAAAATATCTTACAATTGTATACCCTCCCTGGAAATTCCAAGGAGGCAATGAAAAAAGCCCCTTGGAAAAGTGACATTTTGTTAGGGTCCCCTGGAATTTCCAAACATTTTAATTCCTTGGAATTTCCCGTATTTCATTGCTATACCCCCTGGAAAATATCTTACAATTGTATACCCTCCCTGGAAATTCCACGAGGAAATCCCCCCCCCCCTGAGAAAAGGGGGGAAATGTTTTGGTTGCTTTGAAATTTTAAACATTAATTTTATTATTTACATAGTTTCCTTGGCATTTCCAAGATTTTACTGTTTGAAACAAATAGTTATTTAAGGCGCTGTTACACGTTGCAATTTTCATGTAATTATGCCTCGCTATGTTGAGAAAAACGATTTCCGCATTGCATTGCAATCT